AAACATTTTCCGATGAGTTCTTTCACTCCATATCTGACGAATTTTGAATTGGTATATTTTGAACTGATATATTCGTCATCCTGTAGGGGTTGCCACATTCAAGCTCACCGTACCCTCAGCTTTGACCAGTAACATATCAATTTCTTCATACCCATCGGTCTAGCAGAATCTCTGCATTCAGAAAAATATATATTTTGTCGGGCGATTTCGCTTAGTTGAGAAGCTATAGCTATTTTATTAAAGCTGCCTTAACTAGCGCTGAGGTGCTCACTGATATGCATTGTATCACTATAGATCAATAGATATTATACATTACTATAGAAATATAGTTTTGATATATTCAAGCCAACCGTCCTCTCAGGTTTGCCCGGTAACATGTTGATGTTTATACATCATTCGATTGAACAGAATCTCCGCTTTCTAATGATGAATAGGTCGTCGAGAATTTTGCCTCTATGAGGAGATTTAGCAATTTTTCCGATGCTATAGTGGTTGCCACATTCAAGCCTACCTTACCCTCAGCTTTGACCAGTAACACATCAATTTCATCATAATAATCGATCGAGCAGAATCTTTGCATTCGGAAAAAACATATATTTTGTCGGATGATTTTGCTTAGTTGAGAAGCTATAGCTATTTTATTAAAGCTACCTCAACTAGCGCTGAGGTGCTCATTGATATGCATTGTATCACTACAGATCAATATATATTATGCATTACTGTAGAAATATAGTTCTGATATATTCAAGCCAACCGTCTTCTCAGGTTTGCTCGGTAACATATTAATGTTTTTACATCATTCGATTAAACAGAATCTTCGCTTTCTATTGATGAAAAGTTCGTCAAGAAGTTCTGCATCTACGAGGAGGTATGGCTATGTTACTGATGTCATAGGGGTTACTACATTCAAGCCTACCGTACCCTCAGCTTTGACCACTAACATATCAATTTCTTCACACTGATCGATCGAGCAGAATCTCTGCATTCGGAAAAACATATATTTTGTCGGACGATTTTGCTTAGTTGAGAAGCTATAGCTATTTTATTAAAGCTACCTCAACTAGCGCTGAGGTGCTCATTGATATGCAATGTATCACTTTCCCTTGTTCGAGAAAGCAGTTTTTAATATGCGGAGAGAGTTGTGGCAGAATGTCGTCATGCATGCGATGACTAACGCGTGCTCTGTGTTTGTTAGACCGCATCCCCATCCTACTTCTAAACTGCAGGATTACCGCATATCACTATTGAGGGGTATGCGCGTTTTATACTACGCACACACAATGGTAAGCATGCGTTCGCATTGCTCAAAAAGCGAACCGAAACGATGTTTGTATGACTAACTACGTGCTAGACAAATGTCGCGTTTGCAATTGTCGTTGGGGCATTTGTCGTAGGCCCTTTGAGAAGTGGTGAAGAGGGAAAGGAATTTGAGGAACGGAACGTAAGATTGAGGCCGTGTATATAGTCAGGGTAACTGAGCTGTATTGATTCTCTTAATAAATTTTTTCTTGAAACGATATTTAACATTAAGATGTACTTTACGCTGATGTAGAGAAGTGAAGATTCTTTGTTTAGCAAATACACTCTGTTTCAATTGTTTGGCAGTTTTTATGAATTTAACGGCTTCTGTGCATAACCAACAATTTGCTCCACGACAATTCCCACCCCGACAATAGCATCCTGCTGTTCAGTGGTGAGGTTTAGCGTTATCATAGAGTTCCACTGTGCTAATTGTCGGGGTGGAACTTGTTGCGAAGCAAATTGTCGTAGAGTGGTTTTTGTTTAGTAGTGTATGTCGTTGGATAAGCCAGATTTGCTGATATTAACGCGTAGGCTTGTGAAATGAGTTATCTCACTCGTAACGTATTAGCTCAAATACGCTCACTTTGCTTGATTACATACACTATTTGGTATTTTTGCTGATAGTGGGCGCCATCACGCCATCACAGATGCTCGTGTGTTCATACGCTTAACGCATAAATCGAAGCCTATACGTTAGCCTCATCACTGGGCTAAGCGTAAGTCTAAGCTTTATGCATACTCCTGATTTGACTTCGAATTGCAAATCTACACATGGGGCAAAGTGATTAACTAGGGACATGCACGCAGTGGCGCCCGTTATCAGCAATAGTGCCTACTATTGTCCGTTATACACGGTCCGGAGTTTATACCGTGCATGGCTGAATGGATAAACCCCAACTACTGTGCTGTCAGACTTAAGCTTAAGTGTAATGTATGTGTACAAATATGAGTCTGCGTCTTTGCTTTATTATTTCCACAGCTAACAGAGTTGTATCGCCGTCATCAGTTTTTTATAATGTTAGGCTACTACTTTTGTTTGATTAATGCCACGTTATAATTTAAATGTTCAAATGGATGTTTTCTCGAAATTGTTGTCGCAACCATTAGTCGCCTTATCGGTTACCTATATTTGGGAATACATAATAATTGCGAAATATTTTGAGTATGACGACTCCAAGAAAACTCAATATGTTGGAAAGGCTCGCCAATATGGCTGGGCATATATATCGACACCAGGCGAGACAGGTACATTGTAATTTATTATGCAAACTCAGCGTCGAATATATTCATCATTTGGATGCACATCTTATGAGCAATAGTTCTCGCCTTTTCGTGTAAGATTAAAAACCAAACACAAGCGTTTTGTTTGGGGGAATGGGGGAGGGAGATAACCCAAACGTTATGTGACCTGTCGCATAAACCTAACATTTTGCGATTATTACAAGTGCTTCAACGGGCCCAAACTTATCATTTTTTCAGAAATCAACCTTACCTTGTTTTGAAAGCGCTGATAATCGTTTTGTAGAGCATATCTATCCATTTAACTTTTTAATACATATATGTTTTAGTTTCCGCGTCGTTTTACCATCCTGAAAGAAGTTGCAAAGAAAGAATTGGCACCACCAACACCGAAAGAATGGCCTTTAGTGGTTAATGAATTCAAACAGTTGATGAATGCGATCAATACGAAAGCTTATAAGAATCTCACAGTTCGAGTTAGTTGCTCCATTAATTCGACTATTATTTGGTTTATTTTATTTATGTTTGTATGAGTCTACTTGTTTCTCAGTTACCACGCCAGAATTTTTGTTTGGTAATCTGCGAAATGTGTGCTGCACTACTTTATCAATCAAATGTAATTTTATTGGATTTTGTTCTCATGTCATCGATTATCGGTTTTCATTCAGTGTTATTATAAATTTTACTTGTTTCATGCGATCAGGTTGGCTAGACAGTGCATTTATCGATTTGTTGATTGTGGATTTGGTATTCTATTTTTTTTTCTTTAAGGAAGCGATGGTTTACTCGGCTGTTTTTATGGAAGTCATATTCTGGTTCTTCGTTGGCGAAATGATAGGTCGACGATACATCTGTGGTTATCTGGTACCGGCTACATACGTCTCAAAGGAGACCAGAAAATTAGCATCTCAGATGGAAATCGAAGACAAGCACAATTTTTAGAGAAGTTTAGGGTTGTATTTTTTCAATGCTTGGTTTCCTAAATTGTAGTGTGCGATAATATAAATAAACGTAATTATTGTTTATTTTATTTCGATTCGTAAAAATAAAACCTTTATTAGTTGCGAGTGCCCGAAAACACAATTTTTCATAGAATCAAGTAGTCGTAATTTGCATAGCTGCTTTTCCAACTATATCAAAATAATCAATGACGATTTTTTGTTTTTGATTTCATGTCTGTGTTGTTTTCCGTATTTGGGCTTTTTTCATTTTTTTCAGACCACGTTTTTGACAATAGGTCGATCATACAAATCGAAAAATATTTGCATTGTTCATATTGTGTTGTGAAGCGGTGTAGCTGATGATGGTTCATTAGGTTACGCAATTGATGCGTAAAGTCGGGCCATTTGTATTTCTTCAAACTATTCTGCAGACTACATTATAGATGCATTGAAAATTTGTGCGACTTATGCATTTTCAAATGAATGCATTTGAAAGCTATATGATGTAACAACTGACAGACCTAATGAACATATGAGATTATGCAAGTTAAAAAAAAGATCATATAAGCAGAATATGCATATAAATATCGACCACTAACGTAATCGGTGAACTTTCTTACGTACCAGCAGAGATGGAAGCATAATTATACCAATAAAATGAGGAATGGATGTTAAGTATTATGGGCTTCGACATGATGTACTTTTTTTTGCTTGTAAGCATTTGGTAGATAAAACCGTGCAAAACTGGTCATGCCAATGAATCACATCAGTCTTTTGATCCATTTTTAAAGAGGGCTTGTACTCGGATGAAGTAAATTTGAAGTCTTTCTTTGTTTATTTTTTATATTCGATGCGGAAGTTCGTCGAAGATTTGGTTAACTGAACGAAACTAATCATTGAAAGCATTCATACACTCGAGTCATATTGTTCATTTTGTAATGAGATGAGATATTATAAAAATCAAATTTACCGTATGACGTCATATTGAATGGGTGAAAAGCACCGCGTAATATTTCGTTCATCAATAATATAAATTTCGTGAAACAGTATGTTATGTCAAGCTTAGGTAGGATAGAAATGAATGCGATATCGAGCTCCATCTAATTTTAAAGGAACTGAATTTTTATTCATGAAATCAGTCGAACGAATTAACTACTTTTTTCAGCATACAATTGAATGTTTCATTGAAAATTGTTCTCAATGACTTGACGTCACAACAAAATCAAATCTGAATGCATCAACTCATAAAATACAGCACGTTATGTAAAATAAACAGAAAACAGCTATTCAATGTTCTCGAATGAAAGAAGCGCGCAAATGATTCATTTTAAATAAGAAAACATCAGCAAATGGTTGATTAGAGGGGAAAAAGTGAATCAACGGAATATTCATCGAGGCCAACAGTGGAAAAAATATTTTGAAAACCAGTGACTCTCAAGCTGATACCAACACTTTCATGGCATCGTATGATAAACAATCTAATGGTTTCAAGCTCTTTTGGTGGATGCTTACAAGCCCAATCTCAAATGAATAGAATATGCCGGGATAGACAGTTGAATGATGAAAAGTTCGACTTGAATTGATAGGTTAGCAATTGAAATTGGTACAATTACATAGATACAAATTCCAAACATCATTTGGAATGTTTCAACTCAGGGTATCGCTCCACACCACTTTGATATTTTCAAAATTGTTCATCGTATTTTCTGACTTTTCATTGCACGCTTGGTGCCATTCATCTTGTTGACAAATTGTGCATTCGCTTAGACATATCCTCGGATTGTTGAGTTAAAAATTCAACTGGAGCTTGCATCAGCACAACTGGCTTATGCGTAGTTCGAACCTGAAACAAGTTGCATTTAGGACAATGATGAAGTGTGCTCCTGATTGGGTAAATCAAATTGTCACATTCAAAATTTTTACGGCACAATTTCAATAGTGAAATTCGGTTCCCAAAATCTAAAATCCTGATGTAAGATTTCGTAAGGTATCCTTAACGGCTTCAAATAGAATGGCATATACCACTTTAATTGGTATAAAAATTTAAATTTGAAGTAATCTGCATGTTTAGCACACGTTCCTACGTTTTCAACTTATTTAGGCTGGGTTGATTTAATTGCATCACTCATTGTTACAATTTTACCTCTGGTTTGCGTTCCTGAATGAAATTAGAAAGTATTGTTGAATTTGAGTGAAGGATGAGAATTGCTCCGAAATATGATAAATTTATTGCGATAAGATTGATGCTGGGATATGGTAGGTCAATGCAACAAATATCCATCCCACCATTTTTTGACGGCTTTCAGTTCGATTCAGTGAAAATTTCCAATGCAAATTGCACTTTCTTATGAGCATTTTTTAATCAGCTTTGTATGGTCACTGCGGCCTTGTTATTTAAGGTTTGATTTCCCCGGGGAGAACATAACATCACTGAGGAGAGATGCATAAATCGATGATAGTATAACTATTGGCTGTATTATTTGATTGATCGCTCTGCTTGAAATATTGGTTATTGGAACTGGACATGGCATAATTCAAATCGAACAGCGTGAAGGTGTCAGATAATTCACAGGCATCATTCAATTTCGAATATTAAATAGAATTTTTCAAAACAAAGTTTGCCAATTCTTTTCAATTGGTCGACTGATTCATTCTCTTGAGAGTTCGGGTAATTTAAATA